CCCGTTTTAGTGGGGCCCCCTGTGCGTACCCAAGTAAAGGAGATTCTGCGACTCTGTAATCCCGAGCCGCGAGGTGGTAGCTCGCGGTGCTCTCAACGGCAGCGTCCTGAAGAAATTAGATGCGTCGGCCTCGGCTTGGAGCAGCCACGGTGGAGGCGAAGGTTGCGAGAGGAACAGGGGTTGGTTGACTTAGCACCAAGGTTCCTAACTTTATAATCTACTGAGTAGGTTGAACATTCAACAACCCTCCAGTGGACAAGATGCGATGCCCTGCACGCAATCATCCCCTCCCCCCTCCCCAATGTGATGCTGGGCGGGACTCTCTGATCGCCGCGTGAAGAAAGCCGACACGAAGCTGTTGCGGGGCGGCCCCGCTCTCCCACTTTCAGACCTTCCCGTCCATCCCATGATGTTCTTTTTGGTTGCTTTGTCGGTTCCAGCCAGCTGGTCAAAGGCATTTGGGTACGTCTTCAAGTAGGAGAGGTATTCCAAAGCATGGAATAGGTGTGTGGTGTTCCTGAGATGGTGCCCTTTTGGTGATGGTTTGGAAAAGGGAAACCGAAGCGACAAGCATTCGGGCGGTCTGCCACCGTTGCGAGCACTTTTTGAGGCCCTGACAAAGGGCTTGATTGACGTGACGGCCATCGTCCTCTGTACAGTGATACAGGTTTTGGCCCCTGCCTCAGCACGAAGCGAGCGCTAGTACGGGTTCCTCAGTTGGGCAGTTTTGCCCGTTTTGCCAGGCAAGTGGTTCCATTCTCCCGTGACTGGTGCTTGCTTGCTTGCTTGCTTTGCTTTGCTTTGCTTTGCATTGCTTTGCTTTGCTTTGCTTTGCTTTGCTTTGCTTTGCTTTGCTTTGCTTGCTTGCTTGCTTTCTTTCGTGCCCGCCTCGCTCAATGTCAGGTGCCCGGACACATCAGCCCCAATCTCGATTTCAGGAAATATCATCTTTCTGGATCGTTTTCTCCGCAACCCGGCGATCCATGACTCCTTCCACGGAAGGGCCGCGCTTGTTCTCCTTTTCCGTCTGGCTTTGGAGGGAGGTCAGAAATCCACATGGAAACTGCATGGTCAGCGATATGCAATGAGTTGTGTTTGGACTGGGGCTTCATTTTCTAGGCTTGGCAACTATGCACACTTGCCTCCCAACAGCAACCTCAAAGCCCTATGTGTGTGTATATATATAGATTTGTATGTGTATTATACGCGTATACGCATAAAATCATACGGGCGCGTCTGGAAATTCTGCATTTCGAGGCGCAAGGAAGGCCAACAGACGCGACAGCCATGGGCCTTCAGATGATGATGCTGCCCGGCTCTTGGCATCTCGAGCGCGAAACCGACGGGGGGGGGGGTTCGTCTCCACGGGGGCGCCCCATTTTTTTGGGGGGAAACTTCCAGAGTCTAAGGGTTTTTGTATTACACCCTGGGAATACAGTTACACCCACTGGGTATTGACCCCACTCAGGCACATGTCCGGATAAAACCGCGTTATTTTGAAACATTCTGGGTCATTCCCAAAGGGTGTAATCCCAGGGTAATACAAAAACCCTCAGACAGAGGGCATTTTGAGCGAAGGGTATGTCTGGCATTTGTTTTCAAGTGTAGCTTCAGATTTTTCGGGTCATCTTAAAACCCCGGGGTATTTGTTTTGTCTTTTTCAAGAGAATCCTCCCAACGGATGCAAGCTGTGGGCTCCCGGATAGGCTCCGTTGCCTGCCAAGTGAAACCAAAGGGAAGCCCTCCATTTGGGGTATTTGAGAAAACACATCCGAGATGTTCCTGGGGTGCCGTGTGCATGTGTCTCCTGTTTGAGGGTTCAGCTTTTCACCTTGGACCTTGTTTACAGGGAAACCGGAAGGTACACCGAAGCCATTTTGGGGGACCACACACTCATGTTGTCTTTTTCCTTTAGCCTCTGTGGCTGGAGCGGCACTAAGGCTTGCCGTGCTCGGCTTTGTGTCAGCCTGGACACTCGGGACGCTCCGTGGGTTTGTTGGGTACGAGATCAACGAGGGTTGCCCCAAGCCTCTATGACCAAGCCAGAACCGTGGTTGCGTCCAAGCACATGTATGTGTTAGGCTGGAGTAGATATGAAAACAGTGTCAGAAACACATCTTTGTGGAGTAGCTCAGATGTGGGGCAAGGCTAGGGTAGAAAATGGGTCAAACAAAATGGGAAGCCCTCTTTGACACCAAACTGATGAATGAACAGGGTTGCTGTTTTTTCGAGCCATTCCTAAAGAGGACAAAACCACCGCAGACTATTGCCGGACTTCCTTTGGCTTCCCTTTGTCCTCCCACTTCGGAGTGCTTTTCTGAACTTAACTCAAGGAGCAGTGACACGGAACTCCCAAAATAGGATTCGTCGCGCATATCCGCGGGTGGAGTTGTCCCTTTGGATTCCCTTCCCGTTTCGAGGCGAGGCAGCCAGCGCCGGCAGCGCCACCCCGCGCCTCGGAGTGCGAGCGCCGTTGGTTTTGTATGTTTCGGGAAAAATCCTCCTGGATTTCCCCGAAGCGCAAAGAAGTCTCCCCAAGGGGGAAAAAACCAAAAAAAACAACTGGTTCACATGAAGCATGTTGGGTCGCTAGAACATGTGCACAGCCTCGTGTTGGTTTCTCTAATCACGGGACCTGGTGAAAAATGCATTTGCGGCCCACCCATCGGAACCATGTCCGGGAACTCGGAACTTCGAACTCGCTCCGTGAGCGCTGAGTCGATGAGCGACTGCCCATGACGCGGATGAAGTCTGGTGGATGGCCGTGGGAGCTGAAGGTGCAGCAGACTTCGCCTTAGAACCGAGGCCTCGCCGCAAAGTTGGGGGCCTGAAATAGACGTCCTAGGCTGTCAGTCAAAAGAGTCACTCTCTTAAAAATAAAAACAACTCAGGAGCCCTGAAAATCCAGCGGTCAAAATCTTTGATTCCGTGCTTGTGAGAAGGGCAGCACAGATCGAGCCCATGCAAGGAAGGAATTTCTAACACGTTGGGCCGAGAAGGAGACCACCTCCAGGTTTCCAAAAAGACGACGTGTCCTTTTGAAGTGTCCAAAGTCACACCTCCCGTTGCTGTCATGTCGGTTGCATGGGGGATCCTACCAGGCCCTCCCCCCCGCCCCCGCCAAAAATATACGGCCGCAAGACTCTGGAATAGTTTCCCATCCCCCTACGATGCTTGCGGAATGCACATCTTCTTAGGTTTGGCGTGCTATTCTTTCTAGAAGGTGGAGCATGAGCAAGGTTTCTTCTGTGGTGACTTTCAAGTGTTTTGAGACTGCCCAAAAAGCAGAGACACAGACGCAGACACTGAGACACAGAGACACAGACACAGAGATACACAGAGACACACAGAGAGACAAAGAGACACACAGAGGCACACAGAGAGACACAGAGACACACAGAGACGCGCAGAGACACGCAGAGACGTGCCGAGACACGCAGAGACGTGCAGAGAGACACCCGCAGAGAGACACGCCGAGAGAGACGCAGACAGAGACCCGCAGAGAGACACCCGCAGAGAGACACCGGCAGAGAGAGAGACCCGCAGAGAGAGACCCGCAGAGAGAGACCCGCAGAGAGAGACCCACAGAGAGAGACACGCAGAGAGAGAGAGAGAGAGCCACGCAGAGAGAGACACGCAGAGAGACACGCGAGACCACAGAGAGACACACAGAGACACACACAGAGACACATAGAGACACATCGAGACACACAGAGACAACAGAGACACACAGAGACACACACAGAGACTCGCGGAGACACATAGCGACACACGGAGACCCACAGAGACACGCAGAGAGACGCGCAGACAGACACGCAGGGAGACACGCAGAGAGACACGCAGAGAGACACGGAGAGAGACACGCAGAGACAAACGCAGACTCACAGAGACACACAGCGGCACACACACACACACACCCAGACATGCAGAGACACGCAGAGACACGCAGAGACACGCAGAGACACGCAGAGACACGCAGAGACACGCAGAGACACGCAGAGACACGCAGAGACACGCAGAGACACGCAGAGACACGCAGAGACACGCAGAGACACGCAGAGCCACGCAGAGCCACACAGAGCCACACAGAGCCACACAGACAGACAGACAGAGAGACAGACAGGCAGGCAGACAGACAGACAGACAGACAGACAGACAGACACAGAGACAGAGACAGAGACAGAGACAGAGACAGAGACAGAGACAGAGACAGACAGACGGACAGACAGACGGACAGACAGACAAACCCACTCACACCCAGGTCTTCCTTTTCCCAAGAATGCTTTTTTTCTCAGCTGAGGCCTGTTCCGAAGGCCCTGTGAGTGCTCTCCAAAGAGTTTCACCAGTTGTCCCAAGACAACGGCAGTTGAGAGTTCTCCGCTCGTTAAACGGCTTCCGGCCAGTCAGTTGAGTTATCGGTAACGCGTTTTGGTGTTTCATGGCTTCCGGTGCCCGGCAGTTGGGAGCGTCAGCTGAGTCGGGTTGAGTCACATTGCATTTGGACATGCTTTGTGTTCACAGGCGCTTGCCAGAGTCCATGATTCTCCATGCGTGAAGCTTGGAATCGGACAAATAGCAGCAGGCATGACAGGCAGTTGCATGCAGATTAATCGCGGTCTCAGATGCATCCGATAGACTCGGATTGTGGCAAGGCTCAAGAACCTTAGGACCTTGGTTTGACTTCAGCAGTCCAGGCAACTACCTAAGCGGCGCAACTACGCGACAGATGCAGACAGGTGAGTCCTGCGCTGCCTGAAGTGGGATCCATGGTTTTTAGTATCTTCAAATGGAAGCTAAGCATTCTCGAACCTTTTGCACATGAGCTACAGCCCTCTTGAACTTTGTCAGGGGACATGATTTTCCTTTTTTTAATGCACATGTTGGTGAACGTACATCAACTCCCCGTTGATGTCCGTCAACAAGCCGGACTCAAGACTCGTACTGTTACACACGTCTTGTCCCCCTCCTCCCTTGGAGGGCAAGCGTAGCGGTCGCATGGAATGGCCACGGAGCCTTGGCAAAAATCCTCCCCCAAAGCCGCCGGAAGCTAAGCCTCGGGTGGAATCCCCAGATGCGTTTGCTACTTAGATGGTCTGGGACGAATCGCTAAATGGTTTGTAACCCCAGTTACAGGGGACTTACAACCATTGTAAGTGGGTTAGGATGGGTGTAGGGTTCGGCAGGTTTAGGGTTCAAAACGCCACCAAAAGCCGCAACAAACTCGCAAAAGGAGAGGATGGAGAAAAGCAACAAAGAACAAACAACAACCAGCTGAAAAAATGGCAGCAATGCAAGTAACCCGTTGATCACCGGGAAGGTTGGTTGAGGCTTGGTGCCAATGACACCCACGCGGCCGACCGATCCGATCGGGGGGACCCTGCCACACAACTCGGCCGGAGGCAGATGTGCTGCGAAGAATCAATCCGGTTATGGTTCCTCACGTCGTCAAAGATCAATGAGCAAGATGGCACAATCCGCTTTCTGTGGGTACAGCACGGATTGGAATGGAACTCTCCAGGTTGTGAGACAGGTGAGGGGATGTTCAAGGGGAAAGGGAGGCGCGCGAACCCGTCTTGTTTTCAGCTCGGTTGACATCATACTGTCAAGGGGTCCACTTTTAAGCACAATGGCAAGGCAAGGAAGTACCAAAACCATACCGCCTCCTATTATCTACGGGCGGGAGGGGGGGGGGGGCTTTTCCCCACAAGCAGACCCTGGCCCAATTGGAAGCAAAAAGGAGCTGGTTGAATCAAGAGTGGTTTCAACCCATGGGTTCAACAAGGCCAGGCCCCTTTACAGGGAAGCCAAAGCAAAGCCCACGAAAGCGAATTCATCCGAGGAAAGCAGCCTGGTGTGCGGGGAGGACTGCGGGGGCATCACCTGGGACTATGAGATCCAGCAGCTGACCTTTGGCCGCTCGCAACCAGAAAGTCGACGAGCCGTTTCGTTGTGGTTTTCGGGGAAAATGCATACTTAGATGGTTACAGGGGACTTCCAGCCATTGTAAGTGGGTTACAACCAGGGTCACTAGTCCTTCAGCTAACTCCCAGACCATCCAAGTAGGTGTCATTTTTGGTTGCTTTGCTCGAAAATCGGTGGTTTAATCATCCACCAGGGCCATCTATTTCCCTTAAAAGGACACCTATGGGAACATGGGGTGCTCTCTCGATGTGATGTCCCCACCACAAAACTCGCCCGGTTTGTTTGTTCCTTTTTTTTCACGCGCAGGTGGTTTCCATTTTAGGTGACGAGGACTAAGGTCGTTTTTTTTTTTGGCAAGTCCACTCAGGAAGTGAGTCTTGCCGTGTTGGTTCTTGGTTGTCGGTTGGTTTTTTCATTGGTGTGTGTGTGTGTGTGTGTGTGTGTGTGTGTGTGTGTGTGTGTGTGTGTGTGTGTGTGTGTGTGTGTGTGTGTGTTTGAGGGTACGCTTTTGGGGTCGGTTTAAAGGGAAACCAACAGGAACACCACCAGTAGGGCGCCAGGTGAGCGCGCCATAAATTATGACAAGACCTTGGCATACAACTCCTTGTTGGGACGCCTCATGTGGCTGCCTGCGCCAAGTGCTTGATGGCAGTGAATGTCAATGTGGAACCTCCAAAGTGGTCGGCCTAAATCTGATGTCCATCAAGAACAACCATGAAAAGTCCAACTCCCATGATGTTTGCATGGCAGCTTCTAGAGACCCCGGACTTCCATGACCAGGATACTCCCTTGGTTACAAGGAAGCTCCTCATGTGAGCCACAATCAAAACCCGGGGAGGATGAGGGTTAGGGATACTCCCAACCATAAATAGGCCTTCTTCATTCTTGAAGCATGGTTCTTTTGATTCCTGGTTACCCCCTGGCTACCTGCCTGGATACACCACCAGCAGGATACCCCCCCTGGATATTCCCCTGGTTACGTGAGGAGACTCCTCAGGTCTTGTCGGCTCAGGCGGAGGCCTCTGGGGCGCTTTGTTCGGCGTGGGCCTGGCCTTGTCCGTGACAGCGGCCACCTCCAACGTGGACAGCTGGCGCTCGGGGCTGGAGCTCACCTGCCTGAGGCGGAAGGCTTTTTTTCCGACCAGTTGACCGCCCGTTGGGCGACCCCGGTTCTCCACCTCTTTGTGGCTGGACCTCCACCTCTTTTTGGTCGGACCCCCACCTTTTTAGCGGATTTTTGTTGGTTCTCCACCTCTTTTTGGGTTTTCCTCTTTAAAAAGGGGTGCCAGCTGAAAAAAGGACGAGCCATCCATTTCCCTTTTCGTTTTGTTTTGTTTTTGTAGACATCATTGCTTCGGCTGTTTTTGGGTGAATTGGTTTTGCAGTTCACTTTGGACCATGGGATCTTGGGAAGATAATATAGGGAGCCCTGTTGACTGTGTTGACTCGTTGACTTGCTTGTGTGGAACATCAGGTTTTTTGTTTGACACCAAGGTGTCAAGCTGGTGGCCCACCTTCGCAAAGTCGTCACCCAATCATGCAGCCTTCTAGAAGGTGGCTGGTCTATCTGGACCATCTGTGACTCCAAGAGGGGATGGCTTTTCAGGTGACTAGGAGGCATAGGGATAGCCAACTTTGGATCATGCAGGGGGTGACTTCCCATGAGCATGTTTCCAAGTTTGACACGGGATCACCCCGTTCATCAGATCCAGCCCTCTCTGAATTGGATATTGGGTTTGGGGCAGGGGACCCTCTGCTCCTTTGGTGGATGCCTAAAAAATGCGCGGAACAAGGGAACCGCCCCGGATCTTTAACGATATTTGGTCGTGGGTCAAAACCCAAGGTGCCCAAATGGGGAAACACTTACCACTCCGCTGTTGTCCTTTTAGCAGGCTTTCTGGGTGTTCACCGGGATACCGGGGTTTTGGCCCATAGCCGATATTCTTTTCCTGGGCTCGGGCCATCGCTGGCTCCGGCGCCAGGTTGAACAGCTCGAGGTTCTTCCTGGGGCTGGACTTTGTGCTCGCGGTAATCCAGTCCATCCATTTTTGTGTGCGAACGTGGGGGGCCTTAGCTCGCGGAAAAAAAAACAAACAGCAACGTGCGGTGCGATTTCAGGAAGTTCGCGGTGCGAAAAGGAGGGAATGAAGTCGCCGTGTGCCCGTGTGCGTGTTTGTTTGAGGGTCCCCCTATCTTATTAACATGATTATGCCCATTCAACTTGTTGGTTGCCCAGAAAGAAACTTTGACCCGGGGTGCCAGGGTTCCACCATGGTTCCACGAGGGTTCCACGAGGGTTCCACGAGGTTCTGCGAGGGCTTCGGGGTGGTGCGAGCACTAAAAAGAGCACTGCATGCTGTTGGGGATATCACCTGAGCTTATTACCGATGAAGGAGCCATGGGTTTGGAAGAGTGGCGAGCGAGCGGAGCTTGGCACTGGCCAAGGTACACGCAGACCTTGACCTTCATCGGCTTCATCTTGGAAGCCATTGCCGCCATCTATTACCTAGGCCCCGCACTTGCCCGATAATACCTTGAGCAGGGTTCGTGAGCCCCAGCGCCATGATTTTCCCAAAGGGAAGGGTTCCCCTACTAAAATAGACTACAGAAAAAAGTTGGTACCCTTATTCTAACCTCCTACTGGAGGACCTAGGAGGGAGATTTTTTTTTGGAGGCACATCACCTGCGCCCTTGTTCGCTCGCCAGACTCCTAAGTTTCGTTTTTGCGGGTCACCTTTGCTTGACTTATGACATGATTCACTCAGATGGTGCATGTGGGCCTGCGTCAAAGGAGGGGCCGCCGAACAATTGTGGTTTTCCTGTTGGTTTCCTGGCTGGTTTCTTTCGGGGTTGGGATCGCACATGAGCAGGGCTTAGCCGGTCGATGGGCTCCGGTTTCCAGCCACTTTCCAGTAAAAAAAGAAGAAGAACAACAACCCTCAAGCCAACCTCACGCCAATTTCAAGCCAACCTCCAACCAACCTCATGCCAACCTCGATCTGAAGACTCGCATCTCAAAGACGCCCCTAGAAGCGGGAGCCGACGCACGCACGCCGCCGACGCCGGCCGCCGCCCGCCGGCTGCCGCCTTGGCCGCAGGTTTCATGTTGCCCTTCTGGGGCTTTGCGCACTGCGAGGGCATTCTGTCCGGGTTCTGGTGGATGCCCGGGGCCCAAAAAGTTTGCTTCGAACGGGACTGCTGGAAGCAGCCTTCGGTCTGTGAGGCAAACGAAAAAATGGAAAAACCCAAAACCCAGCTCTCCAAAGTGGTGGAAAAGCTCCCCTTTTTTTTTCAACAGCTGAAAGCTTGGGGGTCCACCAGGGTTCCACCAGGGTTCCACATGCTGTTGGGGATATCACCTGAGCTTCTTTACTACCCGCCAGGGGAACAAAAAAGGAACCGCCGCCGTTTCGGACATGGAGAACGACCCTGGTGGCGCTCGGAGGGGTTTGGGGGCGGACTGCAGGTGACACCCAGGGGTTCTCAAAGGAATCGGTGGCAACGGGCTTCCTTGTGGTTTCCGTTTTACAAACCAAAAGGGGGCTTGTCTGAATCCCAATTTTGAGAGGTTGGTCTGCTTTTTGGTTTCCCCATGCCAAAAGGGGACCCAGGATTTGGAGAAGCTTCCATTTTGCGAGTTGCAGGTGCAGTGCCGGCCACAGAGGGGTCGGGAGGAGGGGGTGACTTGGGCGTAAAGCGGCTTGGGCAAAAGGCGGAGCCGCAAGCAAGGTTAGACAGTTCCGCAGATAGATAGGTCCGGTTTCTCTTTTGATCCTTTTCATGGTTGTTGGCTGATTTTTTTGGCACGAGGTCCTGAATAGCACTCCCTTGACCTTTCCTTCTTCGTGGGAGCCCAAAGCAAACCACTATGCCCCAAAAGTCAGCAGCTTCTTCTCTCTCTGACTAACATGAAACCCACAAACTGTGAGAGGTAGGTTCAGGATCTGTTTTTGTTCGACCAATTTGGGTGGCTTCTTGTGGTTTGGCCACTGCTCTTCCACGTTTCTGGCTGAGCGATCCGCTGGCAGACGAGATCCGCTGCTCCGAGGTTCTTCGACATAGCGATCCCCAATTCCATCCTCATAGGCCACAGGGGGTTCTGCCTCATAGGCCAACCTGTTGGTCTTCTTTGGTGTGGTTCGCGTTCACCGGCGACACCCACAAAGATCTACTACCTTTTGGTTTCACTTTTACATGCTACACAGTGGGTGTTCCTATTGTAGGACTTTTAAGACGATCTTTTCGGAACACGTATGCCGATTGTGGACCGCAATGGTGCCACCGGCGAGTGAATGCAAGTGGTTTACCCCTGGCGAAATGCGCACAGCAAGGAGACTTATACAGGCGACTGGTTTATTCGTGTTAGAATCTATGTTAAACATCCAAAAGCAAGTTCTTACAGTGCGTTTTTCTCAGGCTGCACAGGGCATCCCAGCCGCTTCCAAGCCGATCGCCTCGTTGAGGAGGGAGCAAGCCTCGAAAAAGGGACAGCACCAGGAGTTCACTTCGCATTCCCTCGTTTCCCTCGTCAGTGAACGGCGCAGTGCATATTGACAGTCCCTTACCTGGGGCCTCCTTGCAAACTATCATACTTTTATGGTTGACTAAATCTGAAGTAGAGAAGTTGACCATCTAATTGTTTGTGTGCCCCAGGTTTGGACCACGTTACCCGGTTTCCTTGGGGAGGACTTTGACAGATCGCTTGAACTGTGTTGTTGGTTGGTTGTGTTTGTCATCTCCAGCGGGCAACGTGCCGGTGAATGGACAAAATCGGCTTTGGATTAGTTGGGATGGATGAAACCCTTGTGTTTCTCAATCCCGACTGCTGCAGCAAAAAATGGTACCGGAACCAAAAGGAGGTCCAAACGATTGGTGTTTGAACGCGCACTCACTAAGATACCATCACAGGACATGGGGGGTTACTTACCAAAAACCATGGGAAAGACAATGAGTATTCACCGTGGCTCATATATCGATTCTACAGAGAGTCTACACAAAGATCTTACCCCTTGGGATTGACGGCCTTCCTGAGTTTCAAAGGGATCATCTTTTGGGGACCATTTTGAGTCGCAAACAACAAGTAGTGTTGTGCCAGTCCACTCAGGAGGTGAGGAAAACGGGCTTGTTTGAAGGGGAGGCTAAAGCAATCACCGACCCACACCATAGGACCAAGGGAAAAGACTCCCCCTGGATGTCATGGGACCCTTTTAACGGGTTCGAACAAACGTCTTCCGATCGCACGCACCAAAACTATTCAAAGTATTGGGAATCCCTCAGTGGACCCAAAGGCTGTCCACCAAAGGGTCTATTAAAAAACACACCCAGTGTAATGCTAACCCCCGGATGAATAAACCCCTGCTTGATTAATAGGGGGTGCCCCCTTTTAGTGGTTGGATGGGAACACCCCCCTAATGGGACGGGTTCTACTTAGATCCTGGGTCAACATTACCATCCAATCGACCCCAATTGATCAGGGCTCCTTAAACGATCTCCATTTTGCAACCATTTGAAACACGTTGCTTTTTTTCAACACCAAAATAAAGGGAAACCACCACTTGCAAGTGGCAATGTTCAGGTGTATAATGCATCCGGATCCCTGTTGATAGGTCACCCATTCAGCAGGTCACCCATTCGGAGCATCCTCTGACCTCACAGGTGCCGTAGTCAGCCTGCCCGTGGCAGAGTTCGAGGCGGCCGAAAGCGGAGACGTTTTTTTTTTTTTTTTTTGGGGGGGGGGGGGGGTTTTTTCCCCGTCGCAATTTTTGCCAAATGGGGTGGGTGTTCCTGTGATAGGTAGGGAAATGGAATGAAACGTTTTGGGATTGAAGGAAACCATGGATTGTTTGTAGGGGGCATTCCAGTTCTCATTCCCTGCTGAGCACCAGCAAGCTTCTCTAGGGACCCTTTCTCGGGTTGCTTCGCGAAACCAACAGGGAGGCCATGGGGGTGTTGTATTTTGACACCCAGGGTATGCCAATTGGGTTGAGGAACACAGGCAGACGGGCGCAACCAGCTCACTTAGGTTTTGTCGTCGTCTGGTTTTAGGGTGGGTCTAAAGGGACACGCAACCAGCTCACTTAGGTTTTGTCATCGTCTGGTTTTAGGGTGGGTCTAAAGGGACACTAAAAGGACACCCGATTTGTTGGGTACACATGGTATTTTTTTTTTTTAAATAGGGGTCTCCGAGAATAGCGGGTTTCCGTTTGGTTTTCCCTTCAAATGCCAAGAAGAGATAAAAGGGGATCCACCATTTTTAGAAGCTCCCAACCGGCAGAATGTCGGAGGTTGAGGACCTTGGGCAGCACGGAAGATAGGACAGGGGTCATGCGCATGTTGTGATTGGTTCTCATGCCCCTTGCGCCAAAGTTGATTGAGTTTGCCTTCTGGCTTATCATGGGACATATGGGTCAAATTTATCATGGGGATGATGTCCAGCTAGTGCCAAGGGTGTTCCAACCATGAAAATCATCATGTCTTCGCGGGTGCCGTGGCGGACAGTCGGATGGTTTGGTTCAAGGGAATTTGGAGAACCATGACGATGATTCCTATTCTGGGAGCCATTCACACTGTGAGAGTTTGACCAAGGCACGCTATGATTGAGGCTGTTCCAACCATGAATCATCATGTCCTAACATAACAATGCCGGGTTCCTCTCAGAACACGGCACTTAACATGATTGTTGTTGGGGCACATTTTACATTTTGGCTTATTGTGGTTTAGTGGGCAATCCCAAGTTAAGTGCTAAAGTTTAAATTTTTGCTCCCCTTCCAACGTCAACCAAGTTAATGCGGTCGCCAGACCCAGTTGGAATCACAGGTGTCCTTTTTGGTTGTTTGGCTAGAAAAATAGATGGCGATTCCTGGTTTACCTGGTGGTTTTTTCTCATCGTACCAGGGATATTCATCTATTTCCCCTAAAAGGACACCTATGGTTGGAATGGATCGCCAGGGCAAGAAGACATGGTTTGCCCCATCTTGGCTGGCCGCCGGGCGCGCAGAGGGTTGCCAATGAGACCCGATCGGTTTGGGTGACATGGGTATGCTTTTGAGAAAACGAAGGGAACCGAGCGGAAACCCCATTTCGAGGCTTCTGGACACAAGCCTCTTTGCATTGGGGTCCTTTCTGGTTGCGCGGGACATCGATGGACACTCGTAACTCAGATTGCTTCCAATCGTGTAGTGGAAAGCATTTTCCCCCCAAAGGACATCTAGGCCTGGTGACCAGTGGGTGCAACTGGAGTGTCAGAGCCCATGGCTCGTGGAACATTCCTGATGTGTCTGATCAATTTGGGGCTCGGCACAAGAAGGGGGCACTCAGTTTTATTGCCAAAAAAGCTAAGGGGACGAAATGAACTCCAACTCGTCCATGCCAAAGGCTCGTGTGTCGTGCAAAAAGGCATGGTCAGTTAGGGTGTCCTGTCAGTCTCGGACATGTGGGGTGCGTATGTATCATTGGGTGCTTTCCATGTTGTTTTTCGCTTCAACTTGTTTGACGCCTTTCTGCAAATGTTCCTGCTCTATGTACAAATGTTCGGTGCTATACCCATGGTTTTTCCTTCCAAGCCTGGGTTTCCGGTTTCTGTTGGGTTTCTCCCCTTGGATTTCTTTTCTGGGGCCCTTCCACTGGGATGCCCTCGCCTCGGGCTTTCCGCTGCCGTTTTGAGGCCATCCACTTGCTGCGGTCCTGGCGGAAGCTGCTGAGGGCCAACAAGGTGAACGTCGAGGCCGGCGGGACCTGGGTCCGGTCTAGGGGCCCAAGGGTGTGTTGATGGCAATGGTTGGGTTTCCCAAAGGCACACCTAGAGGAAGTGCGCGATGAGAAAAACAAAAAAAAACATATTTTATGTGCGCGACTTTTCGGAGCCTTGTCAGACTGACAGGTGACCTGTCAATGACTCGAGGCCATGGGTGTCCTTCAGTTTGACTCTTGACCAGCAAATTCACCCTCCCTCAGCTTCCGTAAATGTAGATTATTGGACAGTTTGGGCTGGGCCCCGAGGCTGCCCTCTGAAGGGGGGCCCCGCCAAAGAATCATAACAGCTAACCCCTTACTCGTTGCGGGCACCACCATATTTTGACAAGCCAGGCTCACGTGGCTCAATTAGGGACTAGTAGTGCCTATTAGGGTTCATTCAGGACCATTGAGGGCCATATCCCTCCTACGGCTCTCGTTGCTATGGTTCTGAATGAGTATCGGAAAGACATAAAGTAGGGATCCTTTTGGAAAGGCAGAGATTTGCAGCATCTGGGGCTGGGGTCCCCATATCAAACGCGTCCACTCAAGCTCTGGGTTTCCTTTGGTTTCAGCCTGTTTTTTGCGTTCCCAAGCCCAGACTTGGCTCACCTTTCTCACCCTCTCAACTGGCACAAAGCCAACCTTCCGTCCAAGTCTGGAGGGATATTCCCTTGGACTGACAGGAGAGATTGAAAGCCCCAGATTTGAGAGAGCTTGCTCGCATTCCTTCCAGGAGTCCCCCCTCAAGGAAGGGTTCTGCGACCGCTGTCGGGAGCGGGTGCCTCTGGTTCCCTTTGGTTCCCTCCGTGCGCCAGATGTTTCGCAACCAGCTCATCGACTCCGTGGTGTCCACGGCATTTGCAGCCCTCGCCTGAGATCGTCTGCCGACTCCGAAAACCGAAGCCGCGCAAACGGGGCAGGCGGAACGGCCTTGCGAGAAGGGCGCGCGCGCGCAATGCCACTTGAAACATGGAGCCCTTGTCCACAAGAGACAAAACACACCACCTTTCCATTCCTTGTAACTTTTTTTTTTGAAGGGCCCCTCATGAAGGGTGGGTTTCTTCACACACGGGGATTTACTAGTTTCTTTTTGCGCATGTTTCCTCGGCACTTTTCCAAACAAAAACAAAAATCCTCGAGAAAACCAAAAAACAGATGTCAGATCCTAACTCAGCCTGCATGGATACATAGGGTCTGAAATTTTGGTATTTTGTTTTTTTGGTTTTCTCGAGGTTTTTTGCACTTTTCGGGTGGGGGGGGGGGGGGAGAAAAACGCCTCGAGAAAACCAAAAAATGTCAGACCCGAACTCAGCCAGCATGGATACATAGGGTGTGAAAAAGGGTCTGATTTTTTTGGGGTTTCTCGAGGTTTGCTGGGTTTTGAGGTTGGGGTGAGCAAGAAGAAACACATTTCCGCAAGAAGGACACATTTACCACAGCGGCCTGGGCATTCCACTTGCTAAACGCAACCGAGTTCTATTCAAATGAACTGAAAGAAACAGCCAGCTTGTCTTTCCTCACCATATTATCCAAATTATGGCTAAAATTTAATCAAAGTCCTAGATACTTGGAAAGGTCATCCCAGCTAAATTCTGATTCAAAAAACAGCAGCTATACAGTCATTGAATCAGATAGAAGAAACTACCAGCTGGTCTTTACTTACACTAAGTTCTAGCTATACACATGTCAAATACAGATCATATTTGGAAAGAAATTCCCATTTAGAGTTGGATGGATTCCTGTTTACGCTATACTTATTTATAATAAAACAGATATATTACGAAAATTCTACTTGACAGCGTATTTGGATAAGACACCATTACAAATCTAAAACTAACAGCTAAAGTCAAGGTGCCCATTAACTTCTAATTGGACGCTCGGAAGCGAAGTGCTGACTAAAATCTATCTCAAGAAAATGAAGTGAAGTCTGATCGAAATCCAATTTGAATGTAAGTGAAGCCTCGCCATGTAAACCTTGCATTTTTTTGACTGAAATCAGTTTCCTTTTCCATGGGTGTTCCCCTCTTTTCAGAGGCTTGCATTGCAACTTAGAACGAACAACAAGCTTCTCTTTCCTTATTAGATTCCCAACTAGAGTCCTGCTTGAGAAAGGACACCTATTTCAATTCTAATTCAACACACTATGTTAACTTGAAGGCTAATCGAGATATGCAACCTATAGCGGTGCAATCTGAAACGTGTAAACCAACAGAACTGAAATTGCATGTCCTTTGAGTTTCTATTGGTTTGTCTCTCCTTTTAAGGGGTAGGCAATTCAGATTAAACCACCAACTTGTTTTTCGACATAGGATTCCATTGAATTCTATTTCAGTTCTAATGCTAAACACTGCAACAGGAGTGACAAGAAAGATGCCAAGATAATTGCAGCTACACTAGTAGTAGACAAGACACTTTTGGCGACTAGCCTTTTCTTCAACACTGTCTGATAGTGTAAGCTTGCAACTGGCAAGCAATTCTGAGCCAATTTTCAAGGTTCAATTGTCTGATGAAGCCTGCTTGAAACAGACAAGCAATTTTGGGCACAACATCCAAGGTCCCTAGCACTAAAAGTGCATTGCCCGCATACTAGTGAATCTCAATCTGCCTCAATGCGCGTAATTCTCACTTGTGGGGTTGAAACTGGTGCATTTTGTGGCTTTCAAAAACCCACCCCCATGAGGGGACGCTCTTTTTTTTTTTTCTGTGTGGGGGGGGGGGGTAATGTCGGTAATTTTCAGGTGTGTGATGTGAGAGCCCCTGTGCCCCTCTTTCGCTTGCCCCAAATTGCCATTGAAAGGCCCGGGTCTGGTTTGTCAAAACCCGAGTCGTGTAGGAGGTTAGGGAGAATGTCTGTCTTTTGACTTGTTCCCATAAATTTTTGGCGAGATCCATTCAGCAGGCTTGGATGGCTCAAGCATCTCGCAGCAAAAAATGGCCAAGCTAGGTCCCCTCAGTAGTGCCCTTTCTCACCCCTTTTTTGGGGCAGGGTTCCCCTACTAAAATAGACCAAACCGAAAAAAGTCGGGTACCAACTTATTCTAACCTCTCAAATCCCCCGGACCAATCGCAACCATTCGCCTGGAAAAAACGACAGGAGCAATCTGAGAATCTCAGGTCTACCTCATGGCGATGATGATGCTGACCTTCGAGCCTCGGCTTTTGCAACCCTTTGAAACATGGTGCTTTTTCAACACCAAAACAAAGGGAAACCGCCACTTACAAGTTGCAATGTTCAGGTGTATCATGCATCCGGATCCCTGTTTCAGCCCCCTTCGTTGCCTTTCGAATCGCCCCCGCTCAAACATGGGTGGGCGTTTCTCAAGATGATGGACCTGTTGGTATTCAAAGGGACCTCCAAAAGAAACTGGCCATGGGGCCATGCAGCTGAGGAAAATCTTGGCGAGCCGGAGTTCATGAAATCCGTCTCTCAGGACGAAGCACGTCGCCCGAGAGGGCCGGAGTTCGAACCGTTCCGTGAAATGCGAACCAGGGACTCGCTGGCGAGGTTCCATGCTGGTGGACGGGCGGAGACGATTTTTTGAACAATTGGTTCTGTTTAGACCAATCTTGCAAACCCTACTGTGAATGGCCGAAATCGTGCACTACCTAGAAGACCCTGGAATAATGATTCCCCTGTAAATACCAACCAATAATGGTTTCCCATGGTGCCCAAGTGGTGCAGGATTTCGTCCATCCACAGTAGGATGCTCCCTTTTTTCCAAGAGAAGGCGCCTTTGGGAAACCTGCTGGCTCTGACGTGCTGATGTATGGCGAAACTCATGAGAACGGTTCATGGAGGGGCTCTCCCGCGAGAGCCAAAACGCAGGCGCGAAAGCTTGCCGCGACAAGTGGTTGAAGAAGCCCGCTCCGCCGACCTCCAAATTACGCGAAAGCACTGCGAAAGCTACAGTTGCTCCGCGAAAGGATTCCCCACATCCTGTTTGCGTCGCTCTTTTGCAAGTCTAACTACGAGAGGAAAAAGAAAAGAGCTTCGCAGCCTCCGTGTAGATGCCCAGTGAAGCAAACTCGCCGCGCAAGCTCCGCGAAAGTGATTTGTTCGTGGAGGGTTTGATGTTCCCAGTTTTCGGAACCGCTCACCGGAAAGAGGAGCTCGGTAGAATGAAGGGTCTTGGAGACTCCTTATGTCAGGTAAGGGGCTATTGTCATTGCAGCTTTCATGGGATTTTGCTCTTTGTCTGCACCCTTTTGCGGACCCTTCTGGCTTCTGATCGGAGGAGCAGACCGCAGATTGCGCGACAGCCCTGCAGAAAGGAATCAGTAAGAAAGGAATCCCCCCCCTCCAGTCAGGGGGTCGGGGACAAACAAAGGTGTCTGCGGAAAGCTCATGCCAATACAAACATTGTACAAAACGGGGGAACATCGTATGTTACAAGGGCCTGGCTGCCACAAACCCAAGAAACATGTTTGGTTGGATGCAGTCTCGAATGCTTCAGCGCCAGCCGACATTGGGACTTTGGGTTGGAAGTCTTCCACAGCTTCTGTGTGGAGGGGTTCTAGTGTGAGAGGTTTTGAGGGGCGTATTCGGATGATATCATCGCTCCTTAGTGACTCTTTATCTCAGACATCTCAGCCTCCTTTACTTTTTAACCATACTGCAATACTGCGCTTCTAACGCGTGACTCCGCGTTGCCCCCGGCCTAGTTTCAAGTTACCGCCTGAGTTGTTGGCCTGACGAACTGGTGTACAAACACGTGTGTGTGCGCCGTGTGTGTATCTTCTTTTGGAAACCCCGTGTTGAATGGTTTGGAAGGGGAAGCCAAAAAAAGTCAACGCCTTCGGGGCCCCCTGCTTTCAAGACAACCCGCGCCGCGACGCGTGGCCAAGAATTGCAAGGCGCGAAGGCAATCGCAGGCGAGGCAGGATAGGCTGGCCAGATTGGCTCCGGGGACTTCAGCCGCGTGTTTTTTTGGTCTGGAGCAGCCGCCGGCAGTTACTCTTTTGGCCCTCTTCCCCTGGCAAGGCGCTTGAGCCGACGAAAGCAGGAGTTGCCGGTCAAACGTGTTTCTTCAAGTAGGGGCGTGTCAAAACCAGGGGCCTCTTCAAAACCTTGGCAGGTCATGCCGGGTTCCTGCCAACCTGTTCAAGAGGGACACGTTCCTTCTGTTGCCGTGCGCGCTCGCAAGCGTCTGGCTGACAGGAGAAGTGGAACACCATCTCCTCGCTGTACTTTATACTCACCAGACCCTTGTCTCAAAAGTCGTCGCCGAGCCGGACAAACGCCAAACACGCGCTTGGAATCTGTCGCCGTTATCAGGTCAAGTCTAAGTCTGGGATCTGCCAAAAGTACCTTGTTGCCATTTGTGCCTTTTTCGCCATGGTGGGTGCTCGAGCACTCCGAGGTTTGACCCGCCAAAGCGTTAGAGCTGGTGAGTTTCCTGGTAAGAAACAGGAGTTTCGGCAGGCATGTTTTAAGGCTTGCTCCCCGTTTGTTTTGAATATGCCTGGTTCAGCCGCGTTTTGCCGGGAAACCATATACCCCCTTTGGAATGACAAACGCGTATATAATGCCATTGTGTACGCTTCTATTTCCATACAAACAGAATCGGGCTGTATGCTTTGAAAGCGTTACGGCTGCCATTTTCTGTACTCCCGCCGCTTTGCGGGTTGGTAAAGCAAGAATCCACCGCACGGACGGGGAAACCCGCTCCGTGTCTTGCGCCTGAACCTGGAACCGGCTGCTGAAGTCCAACCAAGTCCTTTGTGCCAAGCGGTTTGGTGTTTGCCCCAATTTTGAGAAAATAGGTTAAACAGTCAAGGTTTTAGGTCGTTTTGACTAGGTGGAAGGGGGTCGCCAGATGCGAGCCTCAGAGTTTTGCCTGTTTTGTGAAACAAACTGGTTCCCCCACACAGCCAGCACCAACGCCAGTGCCATGCAGACACGAAGCGCACGCGTAGTACATGAAGTACAGTTTTTCAACAAACGTTGTCGTAGCTGACCACGCTGCTTCCCATCGTTATCGGTTTTTGTTTTAAACGTTTGTTCCTTTTGCGCAAGGGTCCTCAAACAGCAGTAAAGATTCGCACTTGATGCCACTCATCCACAACGGGTGTGGCAACATTCACCGGCCCACTCTTTAAGCAAAGGCGGAACGCGCGTACGGCTGATCCAGAGGAGGGTTACTGCGAATTGTTCCCGAAACTTCTCCAAACCGCCAGCTTTTCGAAGCATTTGCTTCCGACGGCAATGACAAACATTTGTACAAACATCACCCCTAACAAGATGCCCCACAAAGATGGCAAGCTAAGTTGTTATTTATTTATTTTGTTTTTTTGTTTTTTTAAACAAAACCAAATTAATAACTAACACAGGGACATAGGACTTGTAGCTTTAGAGGATGATCCCTGGCAAACGGTTCCTTGTGTATTGGAAAGATGAATGGAGCTGGGGTAACTCACCCCCTGTGTGCAAGGCAAGGGTTTTTTGAATGGGAACCCAGAAAACTCCCTCCTTTGATGCAGGGTCTTCGAGGTTTTCCGAATGGACCTTGTCTTGTCTTGATGTTCTTTGATGGCCATCAATGCTAGAACGGCTCCTTAGTTCCTTAGTTGATCTGTGATACGTGCAGATGAGCAGAAAACAATGTTTCGAAAGGTCGGGTTTCGAGTTCGTTCTGAATGGAGCTGGTTTCGTTTCATTTTTTCCCCATTTGCTTCCGACTATTTTATACATTTTCCCATCTATCACTGGACATATGTTTCCTCTTTTTTGCCTGTGGACTTCAGCAAATGGTGGTCCATCCTTCCTCCGGAGTAGGCATTGAACCTTCCGACTCCCGCGAAAGAATTAAAAAATATGTTCGTGTTCCTGGAGAAAAACAACAACCATTTGCCAGGCTGGTTCCGGAATTCCTGGAAAAAAGAGCCATTTGCTGTGGCTGGTTGCTCTAAGAAAGGGAAGGTAGAAGGACACCCGCCATGTCTCTCCTTTCGCCTCGCTGCATGACTTCGGGGAACCCCCCCCTGTTAAAGAATCATAGGGTGGATGTCGGCTTTGTGGTTGGGACTGTCCCCTTCCAAAGTTCATCTGCGTCTCCAACGGAACAATCGCCACAAATAGGTCGGCTTCCTTTTGACGGCCCCTCTTCCGCTGAGTTAGGCGTGGCCACGGTGGGCTTCGGGGACCTGGTGCCGCTCACCAGCTGGGGGCTCGGGGGGCTCGGAAAGGTGGGTTTGGGGAGGTTAGGTCAAGGGGAACTGAACCACAAAGGGTTGGGGGGTGCGGGTAACAAAGGGAAAGGGGGGTGGAGGGTTGGGGTGGGGGGTGGGGGGGGGGGTGGGGGGTGGGGATGGGGGGTGGAGGGTTGGGTTGGGGTGCGGGGGGGCTTGACAGTTACAACATCTATTATCATATAGAAAAAATACTGCCTGCCTGGGTGCTTGGGCCGAGAAACTTCAGGAGTCAAAAGGTGAATACATGAAGGTTCAGTCAGTGGACTTCGGTGCCACTTTCACCCGGATGTTAATGCTAAAGTGTAACAACCGTTAAGCGAAGCCAGGAGGTTGTTTAAGCGATAGTGGTTTTTCAACCACAGTTGAAACAAGTGGTTGGCCCAACCTATGGGCATGTAGTTGATGTTTTCACATGTTTCAGTCATCCCCTAGCTGGGCCATCCAGCTCACGAACAGTGCAGTTACATTTTTCTCTACACACATGGAAGTGCATAACACCTTCTGTTTGGGCGGGGGGAAAACCACACCATGCTTTGGTGGGTAGTTCGAAGCCCTGATGTGGTTGGCTCCCAGAAGAGTAGCTATTTAACAGAATCACTGGCATGGGCATTTAGTTGATGCAATTCCTTTAGGTCAGTTCCTGCAACTGAATGGGTTGAACACTTGCGGGTTGATATATGGCGCAGAAAGGGTTGGGGTACCACCTCAAGGGCGCTGCGCAACCCTCAACAACCCCACCACCAGATTATTTTATATAGGAACCTCTACCTGCCTCTTTTTTTTAACCAGCTTATTTCTTGAGACACCTCTACCAGCCTTTTTTTTCTCCGGTCACTCGAACCCTGCCCCTTTTGTTGCTTTTTCACTTGAGGGCAGATGTGTCGAAACCTGCCTCTTGCCTTTCTTGCCTTTCTTGCCTTTCTTGCCTTTCTTGCCTTTCTTGACTTTCTTGCCTTTCTTGCCTTTCTTGCCTTTCTTGCCTTTCTTGCCTTTCTTGGCTTTCTTGGCTTTCTTGGCTTTCTTGGCTTTCTTGGCTTTCTTGGCTTTCTTGGCTTTCTTGGCTTTCTTGGCTTTCTTGGCTTTCTTGGCTTTCTTGCCTTTCTTTTTTGCTTTTTGCTGGCGTCTTGAGGTCTGGGCCGCATCTGCACGGTCTTCGCCATCTACATGGGCCTGGCCTGGCTGGCCACGGTGGCCTACCGCTCTCTGCAGATCCTGGCGGTGAACCAGACGGGCGGCGGCTTCTTCGAGCCCATCCTCCACAGCAAGCCCTTCGGCGCAGAAAAGGGGGGGGGGAAAAAAAACGAGGGGAGAGAGAGCGTACTTCGGGGCAACGAGCGAAATCGAGCAGATCAAATATTTGTTGATTGTTTTTGTTGGAGCCGCGTTCCAAAATGATTGTTGGGCCGCTGTTTCAGCTTAAAGCGGTTGTCCGCATGGAGGGTAATATATGGGCCTAAGCCAATCGAATGGAAGACCAAATCAAGTCACGATCAGATAATTATTTGTGTATCTTTCTGGGCCCATATTTATGTTAGCGTTGCGCCAAGTTGGCCCAACTCTGGCCGAATGCCTTTGTTGTATTAAACTGAGACCGCGTGGGGCCACGATTTTGCATTGCGAGATGAAAGATGGACCAGAAGCTGAACATACTGCATAACATGCTTCACCAGTGGCTAGGTGGCCTATCCTGGTATGGGGTTTCATCCATTTGGTGCCATGTGGACTTTGTTCATTTACAGTTGCAACCTCAAGACAATCACCAACCAGCACAGCGAACAACACGAGAGGCCCGAACCTGGGGTACACAAAAATGTGTTGAGTTTCTGTTTGAAAAAAATAGTCAACCCTAAAATACGTGTTCATTTTGGAGGAGACCCCAGATCGTCATCTCGTTCATCCTCTGCTAGGTCCCCCAGTAGTGCCCTTTTACCCTTTTTTGGGGAGGGTTCCCCTACTAAAATAGACTACAGCAGAAAAAAAAAACGGGTACCTGTATTCTAACCTCTCTACTGGAGGACCCAGCTCTGTAAAGACGATATTGTTTGTCAAAGTCCAACTCCGGATTTGGGTCAAAAAAACATCCTGAGCGAGCGCTTTGGGACGTTTTTGGGTGAGTGGAGGAAGTGGCCACAGTGGCGATGTGGCTGTGGGTCAAAAACAATGGGATCCCATTCTGGGGTACGGGGCTACGATTTGGATTTTGACCCATGGCCGTGTGAAAAAACCAAAGCAAAATCGCAGATCACTGGAGCACTCGAGAGGAGACCGTGAGCAGGATCACTTGAAGGGACAGTGGTGTGTCTATTTTTCGCGGCCCCCCCCCACCAAGAAAAAGTGGCGGTTTCCCTTCTGGCTCCAACAAGGCGTACTGTCAAATCCTTTGCGGCAGCCGGTGGGGGGTTTGGGGGGGGGGGGTGGGGGGTCTGACAGACCCCAATGGTTTTAGTTTGGACGCCGTGCATCCGAGGAGGCGACCATTTGGGTGGGTGGCTTTTGCTGCGTGCTTGTGTTGGGAGGAAGTCAACCAGAAGAGTCTCCAGGAAGGGAACCCTGACCACGGCCCTCCTTCTCAGTTTTGAGCATAACCCTTGTGTCAAAATCTTGACATGGGTATGGGTCAAAATGGAACCAGGAGAGCGCAGGTTTTAGTCCTTTCCATGTACCGATCGGGCTCCCGAAATGGGTACTGTTTGTGGCTAGCTTTTGTGGGCAACCTACACAGCTAGTTCCGCTAGTCTTCAAACCCGCCGAAACGTTTCGCTTGGACCCCTTTCATGGATATCAATCCTTCAACGGCAAACTTACGTGCAACCGTTGCAATTCAAGGGACACATACCATTTGCGCGCGCGATTGCGTTGAGCCAAGCCGCGTTTGCACACTGGGTGACTGTTTCCAGGATCTCGAATTGAGGCTCAATAGGCTGGCCATCAACCCTTTGAGGGACGTCCTTAGGTCAGTTTGGTTGAACATAGAGGGCTTCCACTGGGTTCACTTTAGCTCTTAGTTAGCATTTGCCAGTGCCATCGATTTTTCCCCCAGGGACACCTAGGCGACGGTTGATTGGAAGAGTGCAAGTAAACCAATCAGTCCATGCGAATGACAGATCTTCTCTTGTCCCCTACTGGCAATGTTTGGGTGAGTCCAAGTTTTTGGAAACCCTGTTGGATGGTTGAAGGGTCCAATTCCAGTTTTTGGAAGCACCTGTTTGAGGATTCCACCTGGGAATTGACAGCGCTTGCTTAGCTGAAGCAAGCCTATGCTTCGCCATGGCCGAGGTATATCGTCGTCATCGGCAACCCGACCGGGCTGATGCTCAGGAGGGAACCCTGAGCTCACGTTCTACAAGACGTAGTGTTCCCTACGGTAGCCTCAACACTACAATGAAGGATTGATCATCACTGGCATCATCATGGCTTCCTTGTTGGTGGCATATAATGGCCTGCAATACGCCAAACACTTCACTCTGTTCAGTTTCGAGCATCACCTTACCATCATGAAGCGGCATTGTGTCCATACTTTATCCTTGCTGCTCTAAAGATGACCTTGTGGTTCCCAACATTCGTAGGGTTACTTTGGCTGGTTGGTTCTTTCATGTTGGAAATAATATCTCGAAGCCTGTTGCAAGAGACAGCAATATGATGTCCTATTTGATTAAGTCAATCCATTGGCATGCTACCCCCACTAACTTGTTTGCTCCTTTTTTTTTTCAAAAAGAAAGAACACCAGTGTTTTCGGAAACGACACTTCATGCCATCAATCTTTATGAAGACGACTCAGAGATTCGCTGTTTGCTTGAGAAGGAATCCAATCTGAAAGCAGCCGGGTAGAGGCATAGGGTGTGTCTGAAACTTGGGGAACCCCCTCGCTTTTTCCAGGGGGCGAAAACGCAAATGGATGCTATCCTCCCAAAGCTATGGTTGCAAGTTCCTCAAAGCTTTTCCTTTTGGCTTTCCTCTGAAGCCACAGAAGGCGCCCTCAACGAAAAACGAAAGACAGACTTTCGGAAGCTCGGGCAGGAACTTCCTGGCGGAGATTTTCCACCCAGACCACGCGGAAGATGCGGACGACCTTCATGTGTCGGCGCTTCGGCTCAGATCTTGCGGGGTGTTTGGCAATGAGCAACCCCCTATGGATAAACCCCTGGTGGGTTAATAGGGGGGTGTCAACGCCTGGGGTTGATGAATAGGGGGTCAACATTAAGTGGTGCCCTTTTTTGGGGCGGTTGGGATGGAAACCAAACGGACACGAACTGACCTCTTCGGTGCTTCGGGAGCTTGAGCGTTCAGACACTCCACTGTGGGGAAAGCAGCCACTTGCCGCGATGATGCTTTTGGGGTTCCATGTCTATTTTTGTAAGAGGGTAGAACTGATAAGCCCAATGTTTTGGTGAGACGATTTGGTGGGTGCTTGCATTTTGGCAGGTTTCCTTGCGGTGGTTGGTGACGGATGGGGTGGAGGTCTAAAAGAGCCCAGTCCACACCCAACAACCGTAGTCTGGCGAATGATCTACTTATCTACGCCAAGACTTTGCGGATGGCATGATCTGACAAGGAGAGTGTGAATCAAACGAGCAAGGAAGCTCTTGTTTGCTCGTTCGATGAAGACATCCACATGGAAGTCTTGCTACTTGAGGTTCAGGCCCACCGATCGATATGTTCCTAAACAAAGCTCACGAGAAGGCTTTAGTTTGTAGCTTAAGCAACAAGCTGGTTTATATTGGCGGAATATCATTTTGGTGCGTCCGACTTTTTGTGTCCGAGCGGATTCCGTTTGACAGCTGAACCCCTGCAACTAGCCTCTGTTTTTTGTGGATCTCCCTTTAGAGATAATTTTGAGAGCAACGTAGAGGCGCTTTGCTCGTTTTGAATCATATGGCCCAGGAAATCAGCCAAGCACCCACCCAAAAAAAGTGCAGAATGATGTTTGCCTATGTTCTGGGGGATTTTGTCGCGCTTTGGTTTCGAAGAGACCAGGGTGGGCGAAAAATTGGACTGAATGGGTGCCTGAGGTGATACTTCCGCATGGTCATCCTGGACAGGATTTGGTAAATGAGTGGCTGAGACAGTGCGCGGCTGAGAGGCTGCTCCAGGCTGACTTGAGAGGCTGCTATGGGGATGCGTGTTTTGGAGGGTGATCAATTTTGGGGTCGGTTTTCAGCGAAATAAGGGCAACCACCATGGTGGGGGTCCAAATCCCTCTTCTCACCCCCCCCCCCCCCGCACATATATATCTATATACGCCAGTCTGTTCTGTAGCGCCCTCGAAGTCCCTTTTTGTTTATTGCAGGGTTCCCCACCAAACGTGGTCAACCCCGAAAAGGGTCACTGGTTTCTCCCAGGGTCCACTGGGGCATTGCTTTCATGTGGGGTCTGAATCAATGGCACTTGGCATGCAAAAAGCCTGTCACGATATGAACCACGCAGACAGCAGTGGATCCACTGCGCCAGCAGATGTTCGGATGTTTCCGGCAGGGAAGGGGAGCCACAGAAACCAAGCAAACGGCCCGGCTTGTGCGCCAGCTTTGTGCGCAACTTGCCCAAGTTTCTTGCGCTCCTTCAAACAACTTTTGGGTGTGGCCGGATTTCACCCCTGAAATGGGTGGCCAATCAGTGTTTTGGCTTGGGTGGTTTTCACCTTTTGAGCTGGTGGTCAGTTTTTGTTTTTTGTTTTCTCGGTTTCTCCCTCTGGCCGGTTTTGTTCTCCGCCTTTTGGGCTTGCGCTCGCTCTTGCCGCGTTTTTCCTCTCAGAGGACCTCCCCGGATTTGGGCCCGGGCTCCTTAAAAGATACATGTTGCAACCATTTGAAGCATGGCTTTTTCCACCAAGATAAGGGGAAACCACCAAGAAGGCAATGTTCAGGTGTCTAATGCATCCGGATCCCTGCAAGTTCCATTTCTGGTTCCATTTCCTTAGGGGAAGACTAGGATCCCACCACGGGTCCTCCCCCTTTATGGTAGGGATACCCGAGGCCGGAGAACCTCCGGATGCTCCCGCGGATTCACATCTTTCAGGGCACCGCCTTGAGCGACCAAGACCTGCCGGTCGGCTCAGCTCCGGGGAGCGCGGGGCTGTGGCGGTTCTTGGGCTGTAGGTGTTGTTTTTCTTTCCCCCCTCCCATATCTCGGGATGTTTTTTTGTTTTGTCCTTTTTCCTTTTCTTTTTTCTTTTTGGGCTTTAAGGTTTCTTTTGGGCTTTGGGGGGCGCTCGGGATGGAGTTGTTTTTTGGGGGGGCGTGGTGGGGTGGGTTCCTCTCGGGATGGGGCCACTTATCCTTCAGAAGGTTTTGTGGCTTCCCTCAAAGCCTCTTGAATTGAGGCCACCAAGCAAGCCTCGAGTTTCAATGATGCAGGACATGCGATAGCGAGCTCACCGGGTACAGAGTACAAACCCTGAGTCAACTTGTTTCTAGGTGAATCACACTCACTTCCTGAGTTCATAAACTCTAAACTTTTTGGGAAGACCATTTTAGTGGTAAATGTAAACTTTGGACTTTTTTTGGGCCATCCACTCAGCCAGTGAGCATAGCGATTTGCTCGGACTCATCCTCGCTGCTCGCAATGTCGAACCGCTTGCACTTACGCTGCGTTGATTGCAGCCTATAGTCACGCACGAGTCGGCAGACGATGACATCATATTCATCGCATAGATGCAGCCAGAAAAGCAATGGTGCTCATGCAGCTGCCAGACATTTGCCACAGGGAGCCGCGTCTCCCAAAAGATGAAGGCGCACACACGCACACACACACACACGCATATAAATCAGGCAGTTGTTTTTTCAGCTTCGCGTGCCATGGGATGAAGTGGCTTTGCCTTGGCCTGGTCCTGGGCCTCAGCTCCTTTAACTTCCTCGGACCCTGCGCCCGGCCGGCGAGACCGGCGCAGCAGTTTCCCGCTCCGCGGGTGGCGCGGCGCGGAAGGAGGTCGGCGCGGACGGACGAGCTGAGCGCGTTGCCGGGGCTGGGGGTGGTGGTGGACTTCGCGCTGAGCCGCGCGGACACGGGCGCGCCCTTGGAGTGGAAGGAGCCCTAGAGGTTGTCGCTGGGTTCCGCAACCGTAAGAAGGTGTCCGCACTTGCTCTCCCAAAAGAAGGGGGTACCCTCAAAAAGCAGACAGCCCATGTGTTTTGCGGCTTTGCAGGTTTTCAGGGAAGCCGCAATTCTGTTTCTATCAACAACTAGGTCCCCCAGTAGTGCCCTTCTCTCCGATTTTTTGGTTGGGAGGGTTCCCCTACTAAAATAGACTACAGAAAAAAATCGGGTACCAACTTATTCTAACCTCTCTACTGGAGGACCTGGTTGGGTTTGGGTGCCATTTTTTGTAAGGGAACCTGAGTAAAGTAGTTTGGGGAATGCCCTACTTTGTTTCTACAAACAAACATGCCCCGTCAATTTTACTGCACCCATTTGGGTGTGGGTCAAAATTAAACCACCAGGATACGGACCGCCTGTGTTAGTCATGGGTTCCATTTGCCAGGGCAAGCCATTTTGGGGTTGCCCCATTTTTGACCCACAGCCATTTGAAAGCTTGAGGATGACTAAATGTGGGACATAATCTGAAAAACAGAATTGGGCCAAGTAGATGTCTTTCCTGCCAGGAGGTGTCCAGCCCTTTGTCCTTCACCTCTGGCGCTGGAGAGGTGCCCGATGTGCTCGACGAGGCGGGAAGGCAGGCAGACCCTGCGGTTCGGTGGGCCCCCAAAGAAAAAAATCGGCCCGTTTTCCAGGTGGCCCTTCAAGCAGCACCTGGATCAGCCAGTTCTTTTTTTGTCTGCAACTGTGAGAGAGTGAAGGGTCTGGCAAGAGGCAGCAACTTGGCTATCTAAGTAGTTGCATAGGTAGCCTTTTTTGGTGGTTTTGCTAAATAGAGGGCGATCCTGGTTTACCTGGTGGTTGAATCATCTACCAGGGCCATCTATATCCCCTAAACGGGCACCTATGTTGAAAAGGTTATCCGGAAGCTCGACATTTTCTAGCAGACTACCTGTTGGATGGTTCGGTCACTTCCTCGGCCCGAACGGAACCAGCAAGTCTTCAGCTGGTTTTCTCCAACTTGTGGTTTCCGTTACGGGGAGCCCAACTTGCTTGTTCCAAGCCTCCAGCAAACAAGCTCGCCCATCAAGGTTCCGGAAAAAGGGGCCCTTCTTTGTTTGGGACTTAGGTGTTTTTTTTGTGTTTTCTTGACCCATCTCGACTCCCGGTTGTCTCACCAGCACTGGTTTGGATTGCTCGTCTTTCTTGTCCCGCAAAAGGGGTGACTTCCCTAGCGGCCCAAAAGCCAAGACGGCGGCTTGTATCGGGAATTAAACTCAAAGCGTTCCTTTTCGGAGATGACCCACAGGGTTTAGTGCCATTTGGGGGCAATACAGCTAGGTGCAGGATACACGCAAACGGCACGTCTTTTCTTTTCACATATAGAGGGTGTGATAGTTCAACATACCGTGGCCAAAATCACTTCGTGCCAGTTGGCACTTGGGGTTCAACCCGGGTTTTATCCAGAATAACCGTTGCCTGACGGGGGTTTTGGAACCACAGTATCTACCCTCCCACCAATTTCACATGGAACCTGACGTTCGGGTCCTGGAAGACCATTCTCCATTGAAAGGGACCGGGTCGCTGGTTCCAGGTTCCATGTCAATTGGTTGGAGGGCACCAACGAAACAACCGTTAGGGTTTCGGGGGGTCGTTTTTTTGGAGGGCGGGGGGGTCGGTTCCGAGGCTGTGGCGGGCATGGCCTTGGGGGAGAGCAAGCGCTTGCTGGCCTACGGAGAGCCGAGCAATGAGGCGGACGAGGCAGGGTCGGGGGGACCCGGCGTTCTTGGGAGCCGTTTTTTGGTTTGACGCGGCGCATCTGGGGTTTTTACCTTTTTTAAGAAGGAAGCCAAAGAACCCTCCCTTGTTTGGAGCTTCTCCTATTTGGAGACATACCCCTCCCACCAACTAGCGTGGAAGTGCAAAATGGCCCTTTCCAAGAGGAACGTAGTCTTTCTACAGGGGTCTGTGCACTTCCATTAGCTGATGGGAGGGTAACCATTTAGTCCTTAGTCTTACAAAACAGTGTGTTCATGATTCTGGGTCGTTATTTTGAACTGGTTGTGGGGGGGAAATCAAAGTCAGAAACCGGGGGTTGTTTCCCTTTCACCTACCACTTCGGGGCTGCCTTTGTTGTTTGAAAGAAGGAGGCCAGTGATATAGCTGTGGGTCAAAACCAATGGTAGCATTTTGGGGTAGGTGCACCACCCATCTTAGTCTATTCTAGTGGGGATTGGGATGTTCAGTGGGGGTACGGGCTTTTGACCCACAGCCATATCGCCAGGTCTGGGAGATCTCGGGGCAGAAGCTGCCACCCTGCGACGTGCCCCTGTCGCTGGATGTGACGCTCCTGGAGGTGGACGCCACGACTCAAGGGAACTTTGTTCGCCCAGCTTTTTGGGTGCCTCGTGGGTTTTGACGTGGCTTTCCGGTTTCTGACTTTGGCTCCTAAAAGCAGTTCACACCATGGTTGCCAAGAAATCTGGAACATGTCGCCGGAGTTCTTGTGGTGGGTTTCCTGTTTCATGTTTCGGAACAAGACTTGATACAAGTATACATAGATACATATTAATATATATGTGCTTGGAGGCCAGTATTGGGTTTCTGACTTGGACTCCTAAAAGTAGTCAACACCATGGTTGCCAAGAAATTTGGAACCTGTGTCAAATGGACCCCTCGTGGTGGGTTTCCTTTTGGTGCTCCTTCGCAATAGTTATCCACATGTTTCTGAACAAAACATTGGATGCACGCATATATATATGTATATATATATATATATACACATATATGTATGAATGCATAGAGCTCAGTATTGTTGAGTTGGACTTCCAAGGAAGTGAAGCAAGACCCTCGCGGCGTCGCGGTGAAGACGCTGAAGCCCGGGGACGGCAGGACCTTCGCCGAAGCCGGGGACCGCGTCACGGTGCACTACATCGGGAGGCGCGGACCGAGCCGGGGGGGGGGGGGGGGGGTTAGGCGTGTCTATACCGTGGATGTTCTTTTTCTGGGGAAGCGCCTTTTAGTGGCTTTCAGGAAGCCAACCATACATACGTCGATGCATATCTGCGCATATGAAGATTTAGTGTCGGAATTATCACACTCACACGCGTTCTTTGCGGTATTTGACGCAATTGTTGAAGGTCGGGGGGAGTTTTAAAGCTTGGTTTAAGGATTTTCGTGTTTTGTGTAAGGATGTTTGTGCTCGGATAAACTGTTTTGGGCTTGTCGTATTTTCCTTCACCTTCTTGTAGCGTGAGATGCCAGCGCAAAGCGCGTTTCGTGTCAATCGGCGGGGATATCTTTTCTTTGGGGTTCCCCGATTTCAAGACACCCGTTTCAACAGTTCCTTTTGTTCTGAAATCGCGGGCTTGGGATGGAGTTTGAAGAAGAATATGCTTGGTCTTCTTTAGATGCAGCGAACAACGGGTGTTTCAACTCCAACAATGCCGACAATGCCGGCAATGCTGACAGCGCCAACATTGTCGGCATTGTCAGCATCAACTTGGCATCTGCAAAACGGCAATTTTCTACACCCATGAGCCGGCCAAAATGATGCTGGTGATGCAGAAGATGTTGATGTCTGGTTCCAGCGAACCAGCTGGGACAGCTGTGCCCGCGACATTTCATTAGACCAGCTTCTCCAGACTCCAGACGTTGTTTCTTTCCTGCTACTGAGTGTTACGGGGGTTTTGCCTGATTCCCTCCTCAAGGCCAGATTGCTGCGACAGGCGACAGCTTTGCCACAAATCTCATGCCAGGCGGTTGAAGGTGGTTCTCTTGCGGTGCAGAGGTTCGCGGAAGACGAACCCTTGTCAGGGGATTGGGCTCCATTCTTGGTTCTTCCGCACCTTCAAACCTGGAAACTCCTATGGAGAAGATGACGCCTGTCCCTCAGACCAAAAGATCCCTCCCTCAGACCCACAGATCCCTCCCTCAGACCCACAGATCCCTCCCTCAAACCAAAAGCCAGAAGCGGTTGTGTGAAAAGGTTGGCTGCCAACGGGAAGCAGTTTGACTCCACGCACGACCGCGCCTTTCCATTCGAGTTTCACGTTGGCGTTGGGAAGGTCATTCCTGGCTTCGACATGGGAATCTTAGCTGTTTTTGGCAGCTTTATCCTTTTAGCTCACGTAAGCCTGGATTGGCGATTTGGATTGGTGGTTTGTTTGGTCGATGCCATCTTTGCCGAACTTTGGGGACACTTTCTGGTCGTCCAAGTCCCAATGATCACCAGCTGTCCCCGTGTATCAGGAAGCGCACTTGACATGTGCACCTTCAAAAGGTGACGTTTCGAATCCCAAGACTACTAAACTAGACTAAAGAAAGCAAATCGAGTACCCTAATCCTAACCTCTCTACTGGAGGAGCTAGCTGAAAATTTGGGACGCGTGACGCGATTCCCAGGAATGATGAGACTTTCGGAAGGTGAGAAGGCCTTGCTCACCATCCCCTCAGCCTTGGCCTATGGGCCGCGAGGCTCCGGCAAGATCCCGCCCGGCGCGGATCTGATCTTTGAGGTTCACCTGGTGAAAGTGGTGCGCTACTAGCCATCTGCGGCCTTTGCCTTGGGCACTGAGCTCTGAACATCTCGGATGGATACCTGCCGCGACCAGACGGAGCTCAGAAAATCAGAGCCTCCGCCGGCGGAAAGGCAGTCCCCGGCGGTCCGAATCCTGCGTCTTTGAAAGCGCGGTTTGCGGTAGATGTTGTGACCGCCAAAGGAGGTCTCGATTTGTCGGGGCAGGGTGTGGCGAATGAGAAAGGGCTTTACAGACCGCTTCCTTCGCAAGGCGTGGCACCTCATGTTGGAACTTGGGGACAAATCATGGTGCTAAAGCAATCTTCAAGGGGCTTGTCATTTTGTGCCAGCCTTTTCATTCACGTTAAAACTTCTGGTTTTGGGGGTGCCATTGTGTAGCCACAACTATTATTTTGAATATCTGCATAAACCGCCATGCAATTTTACAAAATCTTTAGTAGAATATTATCTTGCCTAAGGTCACTACAGCTGGCACCCCAAAGCCACAATCAACAGCTGGGTACGCGGTAGCTCAAAAAATGGGACTTCCGAGACAGCCCTTGTGATTCTTTCAGGCTTTTGGGGTATGGCTCAACACTTGCTTGAGGGTGCTCGTTTCTGACACATCTTTGTGAATAAACCTGCGGTTGGTTGATTTGTTTTGGCTTTGAACTGTAACTCTACAATTATTCCCCCCCTTTCCCCCAAGGCATCCCCATACTGTAGATGGACAGAATCCTGGGCCAGCTGTTTGGTGGTTGTCGCAAATCGGAGTTTATCCAGAACTTGCCCACAGCCGTGGTGGTTGTGTCACGGGTATGGGCTTTGAGGCCCTTGTAGGCCATGACCAATCGGCAACTCACGAGTTTCCGGCGAAGACCTGGGAACTCACCCCTCATGACCTTTCAACCGTCGGGGGAAGTCGCCTTTTCTTGTACCTACCCCCCATACCCTCCTTTTTGTCGACCGGAAAACCCGGGTTTTCAATCGGAAAACCCGGGTTTTCAATGGGAAACCCGATTCCTCAAACAGCCCCCCCGCTTGGAGAAACCGATCAGTTCAAGTCGAGGAACCGGGTGACCATCAGCTCTGCCACCTGCGTGCCGCCGCCTCGGTTACGTGAACGGTCCATTTATGTCAACTGGAGAATTTGGATGAGGGGCAGTCTCACCCACCCACCATGAAATATGGTTCACCAAAATTCCGAGCCAGTCCAAAGGTTCATCCTGCCGAATTTGCTCTGCACCAGTGTCATGCAGGAGGACGGAAAGCCTTGATTGATACGCAATCTGCAGATGGCACACTTCAACCGATAAAGTGCCAAATAGCCCCACATGCGAAGCTTGTGCAGCCAGTTTGATTGAGATCTTATGGAATGGGGGAAAGAATAAGGCAATGCTAGGGGTCTGGTGAGTGAGAGTGGAGTGGCGTGGAGCGCAGCGAGAGCGAGATAGAGCGAGATAGAGCGAGATGGAGCGAGAGCGAGAGCCAGAGCGAGAGGGAGAGGGAGAGTGAGAGTGAGAGTTTGAGTGCGAGTGAGAGTGAGCCTGTGAGTGGAGTAGAGTGGAGTGAGAGTGAGAGCGAGAGCGAGAGTGAGAGCGAGAGTAAACGTGCAAGGGAGAGGAGAGGTGTGAGGGAGAGGGGAGAGGGGGAGAGGGGGAGAGGGGAGAGGGGAGAGGGGAGAGGGGAGAGGGAGAGGAGAGGAAGAGGGAGAGTGAGAGTGTGAGGGCGGTGGTCGCAGCAGCAGGCCAGCGATTGCGCGGGCGACGAAGTACTAAAAGTTGGTTCTTTTTGGTTTCGTTTCCCCTTAACAGCTTTCAGGGCAAGTCCAGGTTTCAGACTGCTAGCTGCTTTTAGGCGTGTTTCAAAATACAAGACCTTCCAAGGTGGTTTCCTTTGGGTGTCCCTTTAAAGCAACTCCCATTTTTCGCGGTACAACAGCCGGAGCAGCCATGGATGGATTCTGTTTTTTGGCTCGCGGCTTTCCAGGACACGGAGAACATCATTCGCATGATGGCGGTCCAACGACTGGTGCCAAAGGTCGGGGTCCTATCCGGTGGAAGGATTGTCCAATGTGACGCGTGCTTCCCTTTTTTTTTGTTGCAACAAGTAGTTTGCGGATGTGTAGAATTGTTTTCTCAACAACATCGCAGTGCTCGTCATCATGGAGTTGGATCTGCTTGGAGAAAATGGTTCAACGGACCCTTAGTTGGTGGTTTTGATTGGTTTGGGCAATGAACCAGCTGGAGTCCAGTTTCCATGACTCAGGTAAACCTCAACTCGTTTGGGGATTTGAACCCCTGGCTTTGTAGATGGCTGTGGCTCAGAACCATAATGGCACCCTGGTGAATGGAAAGACAGATGAACATTTGCGTACCTAGACTCTCCATGGCCCTTTCAAAATGGGTCCATGACCCCATTATTTTGGGTAATGACCAACTATTTTTTAAAGGGTCAGAAGGAGACTCCAGGTAACCCTAGCTCTCAAAATTTTGAGCCACACCCAAACGGGAAAGTTGCCACCAAGCCACCGAGCCAATTGGAGGGAAGACGAACGGCGAATCGTTTTTGATCCTCCAGGTGCGCTTCATTCTGCTGCTGCTGCGAGCTGAGAACCGAACGTTGCTGATGGAGGCCGGGCACAAAGTCAGTTTCGTCGCGTCACATCACAGGGTGTTTCGTGGTCCCCGGATCAGCCTGGATGGATAGGAAGGGTGTTTCTCACAACAGTGATCCGGATTCCCATGGGACATTCCACTATGAACCACCTTAGTGTGGAATTTAGACCGCCCGTGTCAGGATTCCGTTGAGCCGTGAGCACGCCCCGCAAGCAGAGGTTTGACCATACCACTTGCGGGCCCCATTTTCAGCTTGGTCTAAAGCGAAAATAGAGGGGAGCCAGTATTTTGAGGGTCCAAATCCCAATTCCTTGACACGTACCTGTGCGAGCTTCAGAATCCCCTTGCTTCATGTGTTGTTTGTGGGGTCACTGTGGGCCAGTTGTGGGCCGAGGCGCAAATGGACGGCAACGTCACCACGGTTGCATACGCTTCTTGCCAGCAAAGTGGAGGCGCCACTTGAACAGTCTGCGCGGCGGCATTTTTGTTTTTAACGGAAGCCACTGCTTCGATGTTCGGCCAAGAGTCTAAAGGGGTTTGCCACCTGGGGCAAAACCTACTTATGAGTGAGTGGGACCAGTTGTAAGTAGGTGATAACCCAGGTTACTAGCCACCTGGCCGAGCACCCAAGTAGGAAGCAGCTGGTGACTTCAAATGTGAGGCGTTCCAAAAGTGGAGGAGCTGGACAGTTCTTCGGGGTGTTTTTTCTCTTTTTTTTGGAATTGGCCTCATCCATAACGGTTGACCAGTTCTTTTCAACGGACGCCACTGGGAAACCACCAGAGCACACCCCCAGTCTGCGCCTACATCCGCGCTATGTGAGGACCAGTTCAAGCTGGAGATGGCCGGGAAGTCGTGCATGGTGCCGGCTTTCAGCCGTCCGGAAACGGGTGGAGATCTGTGTGACCCCGGATGAATCCGGCAATGCCGTTTCAGACAAATATGGGGGTGTTCCTTCCCCCCCCAACGAAGAAAGGTGAGGATTTTCCACTTAACCCACCAACACCCTATTCACAAACTGGGGGTGTATTTTATGGGGTCAATATTAATTATGCGGCTTCATGTTTGATTATCTCAAGGTAGACTCAAACACAGAGGTGTCCCTTTTCGCCATCAACCACCCCTGGTTTAATGGAGCGATGGAAAGATTTCAGCAGGTTCGCATTCACTCAGAGCTGTTGGCGCGGGCCGTGCAACCCCGACCGAGCTGCGTTTTCCATTTCCGAATTTTTTGCCGTGCCACTTGTTCAAAGGCCCCTTGCGATACTCAATCACGGACAGTCAGGTGTTGGTGGTGTAGGTGTTGGTGGCGGACAGGCGGGGTCAAAGGCACCGTTGCCACCAGCTGTTAGAAGATGACAACGGGGAGGCTCACAGAGATTGATGAAATCGTGCCTTCCGACTGGGGTTTCATGTTTGGGATTCAAGGGCAAGCGCGCGGGTATGTTCGACTATGGAGGTTTGGGGCTGGGTTCCTTCCCATAGAGAAACCCTGAGCAATTCTTGACGCGCTACCCAAGTCAGAAGTCCCTTCAGCAGTCCGAGACCCAACGCTTGCCATTGGCTTGTGGAAGGTAACGGGTTCCTTACTGGAACCCCAACGGTGGATGGTTCATTGCCGGTAAACCAAGCATACACCGCCGAAAAGCCGCGTGAAGTTGTGGTAAATTTGAGGTCTTCCTTGTTCCTCATACTTGTTGGTTGCGATCGCCGGGACCCGGACAAGCGTGTCGGTATCCCAAAGCAACCCATTTG